GCATATGGTTGTTGTGTGTTTTGCAATTGAACGTCTTGAATTAATCTTCCATTATTTTCTTTACATTTCTCACAATGTTTTAAAAATCTTCTTTGGTTTTTCCTTTCTGGGTCATCACGGATAGAATATACTTCTTCTTTGCAAAAGGGGCAAACTTTATATCCTGTGAGTGCTTCAACGTCTGTAATTCTGTCAGCGTGAAGTTTTCCACATGGACTCTGTGTTAATAAAATATTTACTGTTTCAAATTCTGGATCTATCATTATTGATTCCACTAATGGAAAGTCTACCTTATTTATGTCTACGTCTTCTGGTTGAGGGTCACAATAATAAAAATCAATATTAACGTTTAACATTCTTGCTAACCTCTCACTTTCTGATGAAATGTCAAATCCTTCATATGCATCTATGGCTTCATTTAAATAACTTCTACGAGTTTTAGGATTAACACCATCAGGAATGTTATAGAAGCGTTTAAATAACCTTCTACCTTCGGCTCTTATTTGATTATCATTCATTTTAGCTGTTCCGTTTTTGTTCATTTATGTAAGAATAAAAAATTAAAAAATAAATAAAAATAAAGTTTATTTTTTTAAAGTCCAGGGCTAAAGTCCATAAAATGAATTAAGAACACATAAATTTTTATCATCTGCGACGTGACGAATACATTTTAATTTACTCAAGAATGCGTACCCTGATACATTAAATCTAATTCCTGTCTTATTTAATTTCACAACTTTGAAAAGGAATGTATGAATAGCTATAAAATGATGAGATGATGTTTTATGGGTTGCTTCCATTTTTTCTGAAATAAATGAATAAATATAATGTTTATAAGTTTTCATATCTTTTATATTCTTAATAACGAATGGTATAGACCTTTCAACTTCGTCTTCCTTCGGTGCTGTTCTTTCATATGAAACATTATTAGTATCTTCAATAATGAAACCACAATCGCATAAAATTTTATATGTACCAATTGTTTCTTTTGATATTTTATCTAACAAATCAAAAACTTTATCAACACCTGCACATTTATTTAAATAATAATTTGTGTAAATATCATGGTCTTCTTTCTTAATCGTATTTGTTGCATATGTTACATTTTTCAGTGCTTTTTTGAATTTTTCAGAATCAAGAGGAGGTGAAAGTAATATACATGGATAATCTCCATCGTCAATAAATTGTAACTTATGTTTATGAATAAATTTTGTGCCTTCTTCTGAAAGTGTTTCATCTATTTCACCATCTAATAAATTTTTAGTAGATTCCAAAAAGTAATTTTTATATCTTTCTTCATGAGATTTTTGAACTTCTGATTCTGAAGCTGGGATATTCATTAAACCCTCTACTTCATTCTCATTATATTTTTCAACTTCTCTTAATTCCTTAATTTTTTCATCTATTTCATCTCTTATTTTTTCCAGTCTTTCAATTTCATCATATTCATCATCTTTAATCCGTTCTTCATAATATTCAGGGAAAACATCAGGTTCTTTAGGTTTTTCTTCTTCAGATGTGGGATATAAGAAATTTATAACATCATCTTTATTCATTTTTCCATCATAATCTAAATCATTTAATAACTCCGCGAATTTTTGACAATTTCTTAAATAATATTTATTAACTTCATAACTCGCCTCCTCTAATATATCCTTTATTTCCTCGTTTGTGAATCCCAATTTTTTAACGTCGTTAGTCTTGACACTCATTTTCATACGAATTAAAAAAATAAATTATTCAAAAAATGTAAGACATGAATTTTTAAAGTTTATTTTTCATTCATGAATGATAATTATATCTGATTTCTTTTACTCTCTCATACATACTAGATTTGAAGAATTCGGAACTTTTACCATAATCTCCTAAATGTTTTCTTATCCCCAACGTGTGCCAGTTATTATATGAAACTGAATAAACTTTATCTTTATCTTTACACCTTTCATCACTTCCAATATATTTATATCTCAGTTTTGATTTAGCATTTTCATATTCATTAACGTTTAATAATTCACAGTCTTCCTTTTTAAATTGATGTTTAAGATATTCAGGATTTAATACTCTACGTTTATATGCTCCTAACTTAGTTCTAAAGGTTTTTCTACAAAATTTAGGAATTCCATCCTCTTTAATGTCATCAATGATTTCCATTTCATTATTTTCAATTTCTTCTTCTCGTTTATGAGGTCTTTGATTATGACTCCATTGATTCCATGAAATTAAATATTCTTTATCATTATATTTATACCTCATTAGCTTATTTTGGCTTTCATATTCATTTAATAATTCACAATCTTCATTTTTAAATTGAAGTTTAACCCATTCAGGATTTAAACAATGTTTAATTAATCGCGGAATATCTGACATCATCTATATATAGCTTCTTTTATAAAAGATAAAAAAATAAATTATTTTAAAATTAATGTTAATTTTTTTAATGATTTATAAATAAATATATTTTAATGCATCGTCTATATATAGATGCAACAAAAAAAGTCACACAACCCGCACTCATATACTACTTCTGTAAACTGTTCACAAAACCATTTTGCATGGTATAAAAAGGAGTCTAAGAAAAAAGTATAAAAATTAATGAAGAATATAAGTAATGTTTACAAGTAGTCAGCAAATATGGATAAAAAAATTTCAAGCTAAGTCGGATAATTTCAATGTTTCGTAATTATGTAATAATTACAATGCCTATAACATTGGTCTAAATCAAATCCAATTAAAAACCATAGATTTTGTAAAAAATGAGATTTAATGCAAATATTTTCGCCGTTATTCAAAGATTAAGAGTTGTAGTTTGGTGCCTAGGTTTATTTATGCTTGAAGTTTATTGTTGTTATAACATTTTTAGATGAAAGTTCTTTTTTGCGTAGATGCGATTTGAATTTTTTGAGAACTTTGAGTTTTTTCGCGCCTATAATGAGCACTTTCAACAAAAATTGTTTGGAATTGCATACAAATGAGTTTGGCCTTAAAATTGTCGATAGTGTCTGCATAACTATGGATATGCTCGATCAAATGAGGAGCAAAAAGGTCCAAAAAAGGGGCTTTTTGCAAGATTTTCACTCTCGAGCTTTTATATTTTAATATACCGGCACTGTATTTTATCAAAGATTTAAGTGCCTTTATAGAAGCATATACTGTTCTACCATAAAAAATATAATAATCGTTTATCTCAGAAATTTTATGGGGGTGGTAAAAGTAAAGCAAATCTGGGTAATTCAATACAACCACTTTTTAAATAAAATTTAAAAAGTGTTTGTGTTGAATGTGTAAATCCAAATTTATTCCAATTGAGTTGCAAAAAAAATTGAGAGACTCTCAAATGACTCAATTGGAATAAATTTTTAAATCTCTGCATACTTTTTCAATGCTCGATTTTTAAAATCTATTTAAAAATGAAGCTTATATTGAAATAATGCAGAGATACTAAATTTTAACAGACTATTTCAGAGAATTGAGCGGGAGCTCAATTCTCTGAAAAGTCTGCAAAAATTCGTATATTTAAAAAAAAGTCTGTCACCATTTTTCATTGCATGATTGAGTATTTTGTTTTGTCCTCAATGAGAACAACTGTATCCTCGACTTAGAGTAGGAAAATTGACAAGATAGATCTAAATGTCAGATATTTTCAGTAAACTGTCAAAAAAATAATAAAGAATTAAGGTTTTTATATTATCATTTAAAGTACTCACAAAATCTAGATTGTGAGACTTTGAATTAACTTTTCAGGGAAAATTTTCAATCTTTAGTAATATTAAGTTATATGTAAAGATGATCATATTAATAAAAGTAATCAATTTTCTCAAAATTTGAAATGTTTTCAAATTTAATAACTTAAACAAACATATAATATCAGGGATATCATACAGAACATTTTTTCAAAATGTAATATTTTTTAAGGGTGCACTTACCACTTTCTGACATTCTCTCAATTTTTTTTTGACATTCAAGTTTTCTATACAAATTTCTAGGGTAAAAAGTTATTAACTTTGTTCGGGAAGAAGTTATTTTAAATCACTACTTAGTACCTTATATTACTGTAATACTTTTTTGCAATCACAATAAAGATATAAGGTAGGTAAAATCACTCGTAACACGAAATTTTGGCATTAACACTTTCAAATTTGAGTACTTTACGCGTTGTAAAGCGTTTACAAATGTAAACTGTTTACAAATGTAATGTTTATTTATTTTGAAATCGGCAAAATTCACAAGCGCTCCCGCCAATAACAATACAAAATTGAGAGTGTTACGAACGGTAGTTTTAGCAGCGATTATTTTAACCTCCCTTATTGATATTATGGGAGCATGTCAGAAAGTGGTAAGTGCACCCTTAAGATTTTGGAAATGTCATGTTAATGGTTAAAACATGTTTTAATAATGAAATAAATCCTGTTGCTCATATGTAATTCTGTAAAATTTTCATCTTTTTAAAATTGAATCAATAAATTCCCAGATTGTGGGTTGTTTTTATTATAAATAGTCAAGTTTTCTGCATGCAAAGATTAGTTTATGTTCAGTATTCGAAACTTTTGAATGTTTTTATGAGATAGTTGAGAAAATTGTCTAAAACAGATTAAATAACGTTTTTAAGATATATTGCCAATTGCAGTTACTACTTTCTTAGGGTACCAAAATTTCTGATATAAATGTCCAAAATTTCACTCTTTCAAAATTGGAAATATCTCCATAACCTGAAATTTTATCTATTACTAAAAGCTGATATATATTCTGATTCTTTTCTCAATTTGAACCAGAGATTATACAATCAACTTTTGCTTAAAAAAATATGAATAATCATATTTCAATGAAAAACAAAATTTACTACATAAAACATAATTTAAAATATAAATAATTAGTTATGACACTTTTTAGGACTTATATATAAGCCCGAAAAAGTATCAAGCAACTATTAAAATATATATCCTCACTTTTTTAATTGTCGCTCCTCCTCTCAAAAAGTGACTAATATGTTTTGAATTAAATTGTCAATTTATGCAAAGTGGAATAAAAAGAGCAATTCCACTGTTGGTAACTGCAATGCAAATTGAATTTTCCCAATCATATTCAAGTTCAACAACACTCGAAATCATCACAGATGAGGTAGTTGCAGACGATGCAGAGAAAAATGGTTGACCAATATCAAGATAAAACGCTTCGAAGCAATAAAGATTTGAAATATCATCGCTCATCAAGATATAATCGAATCCATCAGGAGATCTAACAGTTTCAAAAGATGTAATACTTCTTTCAATATCACACGATTTCAGGAATTCTCCATTGACTGAATATAGGAACAATTTATTGTTTAAAATTCCATTTTCATCAATCATTGTCGCAAATATTAAAATAAATCCCCATGTCGGTGTTATTATAACAGATACTGGATGCCATTTTTCTCCAATCGAAAATGTCTTAACAATCTTATACGAAGAGAGAGAAACAATAATAGTGTCACCATCTCTAGTGCATAATACACTCATATGGAAATTTTGGGAAATAGCAGAGCATCTTACATCAGAAGTGAATGATTGAACTGAGAATTTCGGATGAAGTAGGTTATCGGAAGTGTAGAATGAAACTGTTGCATCTTTATTGGATACAACAACCCACTCGCCACCGCAACTCAATGATAAGACATGACTTCGCTGAGGAATTAAAACATCACATTTGGAATCATCTCTTTCTAATATTTTAATAACGCGAAGACATTGTTCATCATTTTCTGATGGATAAGTAATAATGAATGAGTCAATACTACTTGAATACTGCGCTTTCAATTTCCTCTCATTAATTAAAGCGAAGTCTCTAAGATTCTTTGATGTCATTACGAATTCCCTTCTATCAACAACATCAATATTAACTTTCTCTCTGTCTATCAATGAATGTCTAGCATGACGAGGAGAAGATAGAACATTTGAAGGGTATCTCTCACTTCCACTTCTGGATCTCTGTAATTTATGAGGTGATAATACATCTTCCAATGGAATTTGTCTTGAATTGATAAGTTTGATTTTTGTTGCAATAGATACAGCATCAATTAAGCATGCATTTGATAAACCTAGTCTGTCAATAATGTTGATCCTATATTTATGGCTCTGTGTCACACGAATTGCACTAATGATAACTGATTTGGACTCGCACAAGCAGACTGAAAGTGGTTTATCTATTGAGTTTGTTTGTTTCATTGATGCCATTCTTCGAGGATGCATTTCTTTGAACAGTGGCGTAGGAATTTGTCCAACATGGTATAAAATAGCTTCAATTGAAGCTCGTCTTTCAGCATTTTTCATGTTTTCTTTATCGTTCCAAATATCTGAATACATTTCTTCCATGAAAATATTGTCTTCCCTCTTCTGATCAACCCCGAAAACTAGATCGATCCAAGAATTTAAATGCTGACTAACGTAATCGCTTTCTAATGCCTTTCTGTGCAAATAAACAAATTCTGTTGGATTTGCAGCCCAGTTTGGTAGTTCGACATCTGAATTTTTCGATCCTAAATCAAAATGATTTTTATTTTCAAAAATTTCTGGAGAAAAGAAAAACTCGGGTATCAATTCTTTGTAGTTATTAGTTCCTGTTGTACTATTATCATAAGACTTATCAATTGATGTGAATAATCTTGCTGTTTTGTCAAATGCTCCATCTTGGAGATCAATGTGGAGCGATGTAAAAGGTTCAACTCTAATAAGATAATGATAGACAGCTAAAAAGCAGCTCATTCCACTTCCATAGAGATATTGAATAGAGGGGAATGACTCAAGTAATTTCTGGTATCGATCCTTGCCAATCGCGCCAATTGGTTTGGTTAAATCTCTATACGTTTCAGGATCTTCTAAAGAAAGAATTTGAGACTTGTAATCTTTGATGATCCATGGGAAAATTGGATATTGGCTTGTATCATTGAAACTTCTTCCGCTGTAAACATTCAAGACCATCAGATATTCAAAGTTGGATATTTGTCTGTGAATCCAAAGATCTGTGAAATTTGATTCCATGAAATGTTCCATGAAATCAAGTTTTTGAAAAATTTGTATTCTTGGCAATTTCAGTTTTTCTAGTTCTAAAATAATGTAAATCGAATTTATTATTTTGAAATCAATGAAATACGATTTGCCATCATATGTGAAAACTTCAATTGCAGTTTTATGATGTAATCGTGATCTCCTAAAAATGTTTTTAATTTGATTCAAATTTACAATTTTTGTCCTGTTCTTAGTTGTTAAAATGAATTCATTTGTCATTAATGTAAATGTTGACTTCGTTGTTGAATCTACTTTAATTAAGTCACAATGGAGTTCCAAAATACAGCGAACGATATTTTTGTCACCTAATTCAGTACTGTTTTCTTCATCGGAAGAAATGTAGTTATAACTGTCCTGTGTCAAGCTATCATTTTTGATAAGTATTGATTTTGAATATTCTTCAGCTAGCTTGCGTCTATAATCTTCTAACTTTGACATCATCACATTCTTTGATCCAGTATCTCTCAATAAGGATGCATCCATATGGTCAGAAAAGTCTTTGCTCTGCTTTTGTTTCATTGGACAAAAGAAAGGACAAATGCAAGAATCTCTCTTGAAATGTTCATTATTCCGCATTTTTTCAGGCAGGGATTTTAGCCATGGAGCATTGTTTGAAGTATTTGTCTGCCAATACCTATTCCAAAGTTTTTCGCTATCAAGAATTTGTTTTTGCCAAATTGATATGAACTCTGCCATGACATTCACGCCGATTGAAACGACTTCATCCGAGATCATTCCAAAAATTCCCATAGCCTTCCTTGATGCATCTTCTTGTTCTCTGATGAAATGCTTAATATATCGCAAAGGAGATGCATTGATATTTTTGGCCTCTCTTTGTGAAAGAGACTTGATGTATTCGAAGCTCTTTGGTTCAAAAGAAGAATGTTGTTGATCAAAATATACATCTGTTTTTGTTTCTGATGCATGATGATAGAAAAAGTTCATTGCGTTCAAAACTAGTGGCGTCTGAAGGATTTTTGACATAGCTAGAGAAACATCAACTCCTTCATGTAGTAAGAATGAGCAAAGTATAATCACTATTTCTGAGTAATTTTGATCAGGAATTTTCTCAAAAATTGAAATCGCCTGAGCAGCTAATTCAATGTCTGACCATTTTCCAGATTGAGAAAATCTTAATCCGATGTTATAGTCGAAGCTGCAATTGGATAGAAATCCGATTGACTCATTTAATTCAGATGGACTGAGTTTAGTAATTTTTATATCTTGGTGTTGACTTATTGAGCAACTACATTCGATGTTCTTTCTCTTCTTATTCAAAAGAGGACTCCTTTCCGTTTTGTTTGTAATCGTTTCAAAAGCTAACTTAGACAAAACAGGAGAGTAACTTTCTTGATTCAACTGGAATTCTTCATAATCAATATTTATTGAGTACCTGCTTCTTCTCCTGTTCTTTGGTGATGCAGTGTTCGGAATTGATTTCTTTTGGTTGCTTTTGGTTGAAAATGTGTTATAATAGTCATTGTACAGCTTAAGAATTGCGTTGTTCTCTGATTTTTGCCTGAACAATATGAAATTTGTGACGAATGTAAAATATTGATTAGTATTTTCGCTTTCATCTTTATAAATCATTTGTCCATATGCAAGAAGTAATTGGCATATCACATCTTCGTAGTTCTTGTTTAAGGAAAGTCCAATAATGTAAAATGATGCATAAATTGAAAGAATATTACTTTTTCCGCAATTGAGAATATATTTAATGACATCTTGTTTAAGCTGTTTGTTTTTCTCAAGATTGAATATTGCAACAACTAGCCAATTCATCCAAAATGCTGGCTTTGTATAATTAATTGAAGGTTTTACATTATTTATCAATTTCGATAAGGAATTTTCTCCCAAGTTAACTGCCATCCAAGATACAAATGGAAATAGTTCTGGTGTTTGCTCTAACATCTCTAAAATAGATGTATAAAAATCAACTGTAATGCTTTCAATTGGAATTTGATGCATTATAATGTCAATATGCCTGTTAATATCAATATCATTTATTAAATCAGCTTTGTGACTTTCAATGATAACAGAAATAGTCGCAGCAGAAATTTTATCATTGCGGAGGTTGAAAAGATATTGTAGTAGGGGAAGAATGGAAATTGATTGTATTTGGAACTTTTTAAGGATAATATTCTCAACAATGATTTCTCTCAGAAAAATCAATAGGTCTGGTGTTTGTTTGTGGTCATTAACTGTTAAAATATGACTGATCAGTGTTTTGAAATCAAGCTCATTAAATGATTCGATAGATATAATATGTGAAATTATGAAAAGCTGCTTTCTTGCATCTAATACATCAAATTGTTGTCCACGGATTCTATTTGGGCATCTTATTATTCCCTTTTCAATTCCATCATAGTAGTAGTAGGATCTTAATAAACTTAGAATGAAATGGAATGGGAATAACTCACACATCATTGCTTTTCTAGCTGGTAAAAGAACTCGACTCCAATGTCTTGTAATCCTCTTGTGATTTTCACTGTCAGTTTTCAGCCAAATTTCAACATTAAACAAAATGTAAAGAAGTAAATTCTTTTGCAATTCTTTGTTTGTAATAAGGCCAAAAATATTAAAAAATCGCTGGTAGATCGAGTAATTGATATTATTGTCCCCGCTCTGCCTTAATAAATGAGAAATAATTTGGAATCCATTTTTCTCCAAAAACATCTTTTGTCCTTCACTGTTTATGACAAGTGCATTTTCGAGCAAATCAATAACCAATTCTGGATAAAATTTAAAGTTTGTTTTGTCAGAAAAGGTCAAATCAAATTGAGCGAAAAGTGGTAGTAATAAATCTACTCCACATTTATTAACTAAAACGTCACTAAGTGTCAAAGGTGTATTATTCGTTCTTTTTGCATGCTTGATCTTTAAATTGCTGTTATTAAGAGTATCAATAATTGCAAACGTTCCGTCTCTATCTTTTGGAACTATATGCATAACGAGGGATTCTCCTTTGATAAAAACAGGTTGGGAAATGAGTGACTTATCAAACAAGCTTTTCATTACTTGAATTTTCAAATCTCCTGAATATACAGAAAATGAGCTCATGAGAAGAGGTTTCTTTGGCTGGACTGAATCATTTATGGTGCCTGCAATTGTCAGTGTTAATCCTGGCGAATTACTTTGATCATTCAAATCTGGGTAGTTTAAAAATAGTGTTGCAGGTTCTTCGTCATTTAACATTGGATTGGCAATGCATTTCTTGAGTGCATTGTCAAATTTAAAAGAAATTGCCAAGAGACACCATTTCTTGGTTGGTATAGCAAAATTCGGTCTAATAGACCAATTTTTTTCATTAGATTGAACATAAATAACGCAAGAATTTCCTTGTAGAAACACTCCAACTTCTTGTTTGGTAACAGTATCAGAAATATTGAAAATGGGCGGTTTGTATTGAGGATCAAAATGATTCAAATAAAGCCACGTAGAAATGGTGAAACCATTTGTGATTTGTTGCCTATCAAATCCATTAACTTCAATAACTGAATCCATATCAATTGGAAAAGCGCAGCTTGGCTTCAGGCGTGATTTGGAAAGGACTTCATTCAATGCAGCCATTGTTATTTGATGATGCCTTGGAAATAGTTCTCCATCTATTGGGCATAATACTGAAACAAACTGTCTTACAATTATGACTGAAGAAATGCTTGACATGAGAGTCATTAGAAGTTTTATTGCACTTTCATAAATTGAACTTTCTATATCCTGACTATCTCTCCATTTGAAAATTATTTGTATCAAAAAATTGTCAAATGAGCTTTTATGAGCGGCTTCACAATTTTTGGAAGAAAATGTGAATAGCGAAGAAATGAAAGTGAAAACTTCAATTATTTCAGATGAATTCTTAAAGATATTAATAAATGTTTGGAGAACTTTTGGTTGCTTAATCTTAAATGAGGGATGAATGTTAGTTAGGCTCCTTCCACTCAAAAGTTGAATAATTTTAGTGAAAATTTGTTTTGGTGGCTGAATTCCAAAAATTTTCCGAACTACAGCTTCGATCAAAGCAAGCTCCGGTGTTGTTAGAGGTCTTTCAAGAGAGCAGCATATGATCAATCCTAATGATTGAATAATATATTCTTCGGAATTTTCTCCTTTCTCTACATCATTAAAACTATCACAAACATCTCCTATAACTGTAGAAATATTCAATGACAGTTCTGGGTTTTGGATCATTGCCTCATTAATAATCTTGAATAAGTCTACAAGAATTAATAGAGATTCATTATCATTTGCTTTATCGCATTCTTTCAAGATGATTCCTGTTACCTTTTCAATTAAATTTTCGTTGTCAACTGCATCTTTTGAAGTAAGATACTTCAAGAATGGAATTCTAATATAGGAAATATCATTGTGATCATATAATAATGTACTGAAATATTCAATGAAAAACTGATCATTGAATAGCATTTTTGATATATTCTTATCAAGTAAATAGTTATTCATATACTGAAAAATGCAAAATCTAGCCATTGAAGATTCTTTTGTAAATGAATTCGATGATTTATAGAAGAACATTGGATATAGCGTCATTTGTGCAAATGTTGGAGCGCAGTTATCTAAAAATAGTGTTATTGGAGATTGCTTGATCAGTCTTTGAAGAACCTCACAGAAGAGCAATGGATATCCCATCACATTATATAGAGTAAACATGATTGACTCTAAGCCATTTGCTGAGATAAAATCGATTGCAATAGAGCGTAGTGTGTGGATGTCGTTTGGTAATTCAGATCCATATACTGTGATCTGTGGATTGAAAAGAGATTTGTGACTTGAAATTTGAACTGGAATCGAAAAAGGAAACTGTTTTCTTATCTCAATGAAAAGTGCAAAAAAAGTTGCGAACTTTTTGATGGAAATTTCTTTGTCTTGGTCAAAAGCTGTTTTACACATCTCTATGAATGATGCGCAAACATGTTTATTCACAATCAGAGCTTGAGAAACAATACGCATTTTTGTGAAAATTTCTGAGCCAATGATTTCAAATAATTCAATTTTTCTTGGAAACTGTGGAGTGTTTTCTAATGGAGGAATATCACATTGCACATCTGATAAGCGTTCAATATCTGTTTTGTGATATTCAATGAAAGGAATTTTTTCAATTGAATTGTGAATTGAATTTTGGGTATCATCTTTAACCGAATTTTGTATGCCGATCACAATTAGCTTCTCTACTTCATTCATTCTCTCTTCACTAACAGAATTTGAAAGATGTGAGAAAAATAATAACGCATCAACTGAAAGTTCAAGAATATAAATGCTCAGATCTGTAATTATTTCATTAATGTAACGATTTGGTAAATATCCTCCGAGTTGTAATGTAATTCCATCGAGTATTGATATGAATTCTGTGGAATATCGTCTATCTGAGAGAATAACATGGCTTGATGATATTAAAAGATCGAATGTATATGTTGGTAAGCTTGATGGATGGAAAAATATAAAGGATAAAAAAGGGATCAAAAGAGAATAATCGAAATTTTCATTTGAATTAAAGATATTGCTTAATAGATTATACACTGAGCTTTTTATAATTGTTGAAATGATTTGATTCGATGAATTTACATATATTGCCAACATTCCTTTCATAACTGGTAGAGAAAGCTCAAGGTTTAGGTATAATTTCGGTGTTTGTATCAATGAGATATAAGAGTAGAGAACAGTGAGCTGAAAAATTTCAATATTTGAGTCAATTAAAGAATGATTTGTCAGAAACGTTTCGATTAGATAAGGATTAAATGTAAACATGTATTTGTGTAGTTTAAGTGTTTCTTCAATTCCGATTTTATCAAGAGAATCTTTGATTTCTCGTAATTCAAATGAATCATAATGTGGGAAATACATGGTCCTAAATTGAGATTTGATATTCTCGGGCATATCAGCTGTTTCAATATTATAATTGAACTGAAGACTTAAAATCGAATAACAGATTTCGCAGTCATTCAGCATTCACAGCTTTACAAACAAGAAAAAAAAACATAACAAGAATTATTTTTAATTAGATATTTTAAAAACAGCTAAGTATTCTATATTATAATCTAAATTTCCTCTTTAAATAAAACCATCTAAGGAATCATACCAATTGGAAACAAAATGATGAAGATAGGCTTCACTAATCTGGGTGACATTGCGCCATCTGTTAGAGAAATTTATAAAATCATTATTATTTTGTTATTGGATCGGATTTCAAATAATAACAAAATGACATAAGCAAAATTTATTTTCGATAACAGTTTTTAATAATAATATTTGAAAACACGATATATTTCATGCAGACATGGGTTAGATGATTGCAATCTTCAAAGAAAAACTTTTACGATTATATTCAGAAATTTCAAAGACAAAATTTAGCGGCTTTAAAAAAAACAAAAAAAAAAAAAAAAAAAAAAAAAAAAAAAGGGAGTGGGGCTTCCAGGCACTTCGTGCCTTCTAGCCCTGAAGATGTTTAGTATAAATGAAGTCTTAGAGGACAAACATGACTATGAGTTTTGATATGACAAGATAGAATATGAGAGAGGTCCTATAAACCGGAGAAAGTGTTATATAAACATCTGTCATATTACTCAGAATATTATACAGAATTCAATAAAAATATATTTTAGGTGAAGAGGTGAGATTTCACCTGTTTTTTCACCTCATTTTTCACCTCTTGAATTTTCATGAATTTCATCGTAAAGACTTTGTCAAGATTTCATCGTAAAGACTTTGTCAAGATTTCATCGTAAAGACTTTGTCAAAACTTCATCGTAAAGACTTTGTCAAAACTTCATCGTAAAGACTTTGTCAAGACTTCTTCGTAAATGTTTTGTCAAGACTTCTTCTTCGTAAATGTTTTGTCAAGACTTCTTCGTAAAATCAGACAAAAATATATTTTAGGTGAAGAGGTGAGATTTCACCTGTTTTTTCACCTAATTTTTCACCCTCTTGAATTTTACACCAAAAATATATTTTAGGTGAAGAGGTGAGATTTCACCTGTTTTTTCACCTAATTTTTCACCCTCTTGAATTTTCATGAAATTTACACCAAAAATATATTTTAGGTGAAGAGGTGAGATTTCACCTGTTTTTTCACCTAATTTTTCACCCTCTTGAATTTTCATGAAATTTACACCAAAAATATACTACTAGGGTCATTTACGAAGAAATCTCAACAAAGTCTTTACGAAGAAATCTCAACAAAACATAGACAAGAAAGTTCATGAGAAATTAGATGAAGAAGTCTTAACAAAGTCTTTACGAAGAAATTCATGAAAATTCAAGAGGTGAGAAATGAGGTGAAAAAAGAGGTGAAATCTCACCTCTTCACCTAAAATATATTTTTGGGTCATTTACGAAGAAATCTCAACAAAGTCTTTACGATGAAATCTTGACAAAACATAGACAAGAAAGTTCATGAGAAATTAGATGAAGAAGTCTTAACAAAGTCTTTACGAAGAAATTCATGAAAATTCAAGAGGTGAGAAATGAGGTGAAAAAAGAGGTGAAATCTCACCTCTTCACCTAAAATATATTTTTGGTGTAAATTTCATGAAAATTCAAGAGGGTAGAAAAGAGGGTAGAAAACAGGTGAAATCTCACCTCATATGTCCTTACTGAAAAAGTATGTGTTCCATCTGAAGTTCTTATATACGGGTCTTCCAGGAGCTTTTCACAAAATATATATGTTTTCATGTTTTGTCACTTTTCTGTCACTTTTCAGGTAAAAACATTTTTATTATATATATATAAAATGAATTTTACAAAACCACCGTTACCCTTCTTTGGAAATAAGAGTAGATGTAAAGATATTCTATTGAGAGAACTTAAGAAACTACCGAATGGTCTAACATTTGTAGATTTGTTCGGTGGAAGTTTCTATATATCCCATTTGTGCCATATAATATTTCCAGACTCAAAGATTATATGCAATGACTTCGACAACTATATGAACCGTCTCAAACATATACCAGACACAAACAAAATATTGAAAGAGTTAAAAGAAAAGATACCTATAGGTAAGATGGAACGTATACCATTAGATAAGAAAAATACTGTCAGAGAGGTTTTGAAAAAGGCAGAATATATTGACTGGGATAGTATATCTGCTAGACTATTATATAGTGGTTCTATAAGAGTTCATGACATTGAAACACTTATGTCAAAAGTTTTATATCTTAACTATACAAAGGTTTTCAAAGAGAACATAGAAAAATATACTGAGGGTATAGAGTTTGTGAGATGTCATTGGACAGAGTTGTATGAAAAATATAAAGACAAGGAAAATGTTTTCTTTATAGTAGACCCGCCGTTCTATAACACATATGATTTTCAATACCAAGTAGACTGGACTTTGAGAGACTCTTTAGAAACTTTAGACGTTGTACATAACCATCCATGCTTTTACTTTACATCCGATAAAAGTGGTTTGGAAAGTGTCATGAGATGGTTAGAGGACATACATGACTATGAGTTTAGATATGACAAGATAGAATATGAGAGAGGTCCTATAAACCGGAAAAAGTGTCATAACAAAGAAATTTTATTGGTAAGTAAATGTGGTTTGAAATAGGACTACTTGTTTTAGGTTTTTTCCATTGTGTCATTTACTTATTTGACGTGGCAGAAAAGTACAGAGAATATGAAGATGAACCAATACCAGCAAATGTTCAGCATATGTACTCGTAAGAGATATTTTTATCTAATATTAAATGGACGCACAGAACTTAGCGAATGCACAGCAACCTGGACAACCAAACCCAGAGAATATTCCAAATGAAGTTAGAATACAAACTGCAATGGCAAACTATGGTCAAGTGCCAACAGATGTACAAATGCAAACTGCCATGTCAAATGACGCTGCGTTAGGTTTGCCACCATGGTATGCAAATATGAGATGGAAAGAGTTTTATACAAACCCCGAAGTGGGATATAAACAACTCTATGCAGATGACGCGAACACAGGAGTTGACCCAGAGTATGTTTTCTACCAGAGGAGAAATAGAATGTATGAGCTCCAGTTAAAGAATGCTATGGAACTCAGAAGGAAACGTAAGAGACTAGGTGGACATTAGATTTTTACATATAGTAAAATGGGTTTCTTTGGAAGAATAGGAAACTTCTTTCGAAATGTTGGAAGAGGTATATGGAATGGAATAAAAACCGTCGGAAGAGGAATTTGGAACGGAGTCAAAAATATTGGCAAAAGGGTAGGTCAGTTTGTTGGTATTATACCTAAAGACCCTGAACCAGAAGAGCAAGCTCCTGTTATACAACAGCCTGAACCTGCACCACAGTCTAGTTGGCAACCAAATCCAACACCTCAACCGTATTAAAAAATTATATTTTTACCGTTCGATAGTAGTTGTATATGAAACTAAGTTCTAAGTAAAACGCATGGTATAATGGAATTATTCTTTTTCTTCCATCTGTAGTAAACCATACTTGAAAGTCTGAAATACTTCCACTCGGTGGTTCATATAGCTTTGTAGGTTTTTCGTAAAAGTCATTTGCCAAGCATAAAAAAGAGTTTTGGGCGCCAGAAAATGAAGCATGAACAATAATAGCATCTTGGTCGAAAACATTTTCATATGTTCCATTAGGGTTTTCGACTTCATAAAAGTCTGGGTGTACTGGATATGCTGCAGGCTGATTTAACATCCTCATAAATCTATACCATGCCAAGTTGTTATATTTTGTAGAAATATAAACGTCTTCTCCAAGGTCTTCTATTCTATTGATTTTAACAGTTGCATTTTTCCTGTCATATAAAATATCGAGATGGTACTCTCCTTCGTCAATGTTAAACGTTTGCATATTCGATATAGATATCGTTTATTTTTCTTGAAAAGCTTGAAGAGTTGTTTCTAAGTTTACAAGCAAACTAACTTGTAAAAGTTTTCCCTGTTCAAATTTCTCATACGTACGTTTTTCTTTGTTATAGTATCGAATTTCAAAAGCGACCGTAAATGGGAAACCATGTATGGCTTCTGAAATGAACTTCATTCTACGAAAGCCAATAGCTTTTGTGACGGATGGGTCTCTTAACCATCTTAAGGGTAGTCAAAACGATAGCCTTCATGTTTTACGGTCTCTGTCTCAAACTTTTGACCGACATTCGTAAAAAGTTCATCTAATGGTTTAGTTGTAGCAACTCTTGAATTTTCTTTTTCTATTGAAAGCATATTTTATCTAGAATAAAAATGTCGAAAGAAACAGCGTCTATGAGAGAAATACAACACAACCGACAACTCATTTTGCAAGCTCTAAATAAGAACACAACAAACTTTTCAAACTATTCTAAGATATCTGAGTCATTGAAAGAAGGAAACTTAAAACTGACGATAAACCCAATGACAGACGAGTTTCTGTTTCAAGACAGTAAGAACCATACTGTTTGTATAAATCCAACAAAAAGAACTTTAAACGAGAAACCTATAGATGAACTTCTTTTGAAAGCAGATGTTGAAAAGAAAGCTGACAAAGAGTATGTAGATGCAACAAGAGACTATATTCTCGCATGGACAGATAGAACATACCCACAAAAACACCATACACATAACATCTATGACGTAGATGAACTACCAGCAATGTTAGATGACAAAGCAGATAAAACATATGTTGGCAATAAAATGTCAAGTGAAGTGACAAGAGCTGACAAAGAATATTCTAAAAAGACTCATACACATACCATTGCAAATATTACAAACTTACAAGAAACCTTAAACAGGAAAAGTGACGTTGGACATACACACGATTTCTTCGCAACTGTTGGTATAGAAAATATTGCAGGAACGGTTGAAGAAACTGATGGAACTGGTGGGGATGTATTAAATTGGAAACCTCCTAACTTTCCACAAGGTTTAACATCGGAGGATGACATAACATCGGATAAAGACATTAGATGTAGAAATGTCTATGTCATGGAGGATGAAAACAAAGTTAAATTCACTGCTCAAGATTTATATGATAAAAAAGCTGACAAAACATATGTTAACGATGAGTTAGATAAAAAAGCTGACAAAACATATGTTAACGATGAGTTAGATAAAAAAGCTGACAAAACAGAGCTTCAAACGTTAAAGACAGAAATACTTCAAACAGTATATCCTATAGGTTCTATTTACACGTCAATGAACTCTACCAGACCAGAAGTAGTACTTGGTCTCGGAACTTGGACTCAAATAGTCGACAGGTTTTTGTATTGTGCAAACTCTTCAAAGGAAACAGGTGGAAGTAAAACGATTTCAGGTGAAAACTTACCTGCACACAGTCACTACATAGATTTAAGTACATCTCAAGCAGGTTGGCATAAGCATAGATATTGGGATTGGTCAGGAATGATAAAAGGTAAAGGATATGATGTTAAAGACAACGTTAAGTTTGCTATAGATTGTTACTGGAGTAACACTGAGGGAGGAGGAAACCATACACATCGCGTTTCAGGGTATACGCAAACAACGGGACAAAGTAAAGACTATATGCCACCTTACATGACAGTTTACGCATGGTATAGAATTGCTTAGTCGTCATTTTCAACTTCTTTAGCATATTCGTCAGCAGTTGTCTTATATTTGTTAGGAACTGTCTTTGAAAGTATACCACCTTGAACTTTGACAAGTTTGAAACGAGGTCTGACAATAGTAGTTTTATCTTCTGCTTGCAGTGTGTACATTTTGCCATGTTTGCCTAAAACTTCATAATATTCTCTTGTATACTTTCTTCTATTTTTACGAACACGAATGTGAGTACCTGTCGAGTTCCCATTGTTGTCATAGTCAATAGTATTTTCATATGGGTCGCGTTTAGGTATTTCTATTTTTACTTTGTCACCTTTCTTAAGTTTGAAGCCTGGCATTCTTTCTTGTTTGTCTCTTTTGACTAAACTATTAAATATATAGTCTTTCTCTAAGTCAGGGTTGTTTTCATTTCTTCGGGGGAGTGGTTTCCCAAACCTTTTTGTTTACGGTTATTGTAAATATTTAAAACTTGTCTCATCTTTGCCATGGAGAAGTGTCTATATTTGTCGTCATATGACATTTCATCTACCTCACCACCTTGTGGTTGATTTAAGTCTCTTAAGATTTTTATACAACTGTCAATGACACCAAGAGCAGAATGGTTTTGGTCGACAATGAAATATTGGTTTACATTTTTTGAACGCAGATAGTTTTTAATATCGTCTGATTTGAAAGAACTTTCACAGTCAGATGTCAGTTTTGTTGGATGGTATTTGTCAACAAATATTGTCAAAGCAGTTTTCACATCTAAAATATTTTTGGACTGTAATGGTATGGCTTCACAGTATCTTGTGTTTTGACCGACAAATATTAGCCAGTATGGTGGTCCATCTTCTCTATACCTCGGAATGTTTTCCAAGATATCCATAAACCAAGCATTTGGTGTTGAACTAAAGATTTTTACCATGAGTGCTTTCTTTGTCGCTTTAGAAACATAGGGGTCCTTGTTTGGATTCGTCATTTTTTACCCTATAAGAAATGGGTTTATTTGGCGCATTAGCAGGAGTTGCATCCAGATTTTTGCCCGCAGTGGGAACAATAGCCAGAGGTGTATTTGGAGTTGGAAGGAAGATTTTGAGTACATTAGGTATACTTAAAGAGAAAGCACAACCTATTATACAAACTGTACAGAAAGGTTGGGAGGTAGCACGAGATGCAGCAAATCTTATTCCAAATCCTGAAACAAGAGGAAAAGTTCAAGGATGGATGGACAATGTAGGAAGAGAAGCAGGAAACTACTATAACAAAGCAAATGACTACTATAACCAAGCAGGGCACTATATGGACCAAGGTGAAAGATTCTTTAACAGAGGATATAACCATGCACAACAGTGGGTAAACAACAACCAACCGCAACCGCCTCAAACGTGGGGAATGTAAATTTTTTTACTGAGATGAAATGAACAATACAGCATTGAGACAAATGGGTTCAAGATGGATTTGTCGACTTCCAGCAGTTACACAACGTGTTTGTCAAGTCCTCCCTATACCTCAGGAAGTTTTAGACCGACTTAAAAAACAACAACAACCAGTTGAAAACAAACCAAACTAAAATTTTTTACTGAGATGAAATGACCGAAGAAGTTGAAACGGTAGATTTGACACCACAAACAAAAAGTTCAGAACCATTGTCAAAACCTGTCAAAGAACTTACAGATGAAGAGAAAAATTCAATAATAGAAAGTGCCAGGTCTGGAAATACAAACCCTAACTACAAAGTCACTTTTCATAGAAATGGAACGGCTAGTATCTCAAAAAAGAAACAGACTCTCACAAATAAAATATTGAAGTCTGAAGGAGCTTTCGAGACAGCAGATGGAAAAGTTTACTTCACTGACAAACAGTTCATTATAGAACATCTCATTGACTTAGAGTCGAAATATTCTAAACTTTACAACAAACACAAAAAGTTGAAAGGAAAACAAAAACAGATGGCATATGATATTTACGAAGATACTAACGACACAACCATACCTGCAAGTGAGGTAAAGTCAGAGGAACCGAAAAGTGACGAAAAACCAATAGAAGAAGGGAAGCCACAAACTGAAGATAAACCAAAACCAAAGGTTAGTATTCAACCTTCATTAGCTGGTATGGGTTGGCGTCAAAGGCTTTTGGTAGCAGGTGGTTACGTAAAGTAAAGAGAAAAACATTTTTTTTATTTTTATAAAAATGCCCCCGCATAGAATGGATAGAAGGTCTGCTAGAATAAAAGCAGAGTTAGAAAGATATGGCTGGAGAGTTTCAAAGAATTTTAAATATAGGAAGGGAAGACCCATAAAAGTCTATGACAAATTGTCTGGTCTTCGCTATGAAATGGACTTGGAAACAGCACGCGCAAATTATCCAAACAGACTAGAGAGGTTAGAAGAAGAACGTCTTATGGACATGCCTTTCGATGTTAGTGAGCCTCAAGTTGAAGGACACGACGGCTTTGCCAGGTTCTACTGGAAACATGACGAACAATTGCATCCTTTGAGGAGGAAAAAAGGAAAAGGTGAAGACGCACATGCTCCCATGGAAAGAACAAGATATGCATATGAGAAGTATCGTGAAGTTAGAAGTAAAATTACATCTGGTCAAACCTTTACAGTTAACTTTGACGAAGGAAAGAACAAAGAAGGCTTCATGGGAGTACTTGCTGCCATTCAAGACGGAAATAAGAAAGGACACAATCTCAGACTAACCGTAACAGATTTGGACGGTCATATTTACTATGCACATGGCAATGTCACAACAGCTGCAATGCTTCTTGACGCTTTCAAGACTACAAAGAGAGAACAAATGGTTGACTCCGACTCAGATATTTTGAATGCAATTGAAGGAATTTCAAGCGTCAAGTTCGAATGGTACCAACCTAACCCTCGAGCAGTCAGACAACTTGTTTGTTAGATGAGAAATATGAAATGGCATACTTTTTTAAAACATTTTTTAAAACAGTATATTTTTACATATATTAAATGTTTCAGGTTGAAAAACAAAGAACAAAAGTAGCAGATACAAAACCGTTAGACTATATCTTTACAAACGCCGGTAGGACTATATCAGATGAAGAAATTTCATCCGGCTCCTACCGCTTTGACTTTCCAATTCGTTGGCTTCAAAGTCCTTCAGATGCAAAGGCAATAGGATTTAGAAGAGTTTTGTTTTCAAAAAGAACTAACGCGTTTATGTTTGCAGTATATTTTCACGGTCAGTATAGAGGTCATGATGGTCTACTAGACAAATTTGACGAAATGAGAATCTTTACGGTTCGTTCAGACGAAAGTCTTGAGAAGACTCTAAATGACTTTCAAACTCAAATAAACAAATACTACTGGGAATTTCAAGAAAAATACGATTCTTTACTAAATGGAACATACTATCTGAAACTAGAATATGACAAGATGAACTCCACAGTTTCATTTCAAAGGATTGAAAATAACCCTCCAAGAGATACACAGTTTTTATTTTGGCAAGTAGACAAACGTTCTTGGGCACAATTTCTTCGGTTACTAAACCAGAACGAACCATTACCACCTGACGGTCCGTTCTGGTTTATACGCCCACCAACAGATTTGACAGTTTATAGAAACGTGTTTGACCCTCAAAATGTTATGTGTCATGCAAGTTTCAGTTCAAGCAACAACAGTTTTCTATGTATTGGTAAGGACTTTTATGACTTTGCTTCTAAATTCTACGAACCACCGAGTAACAGTTTCTCTGACTTTCAAGTTTGGTTCACAACAAATGGTGTGCAACATATTGTTCCATTGTACTACGACTTTTATCTCGAATTGTCTTTCATATATAACTACGGAGAAGTGCTGAAAAAGTATTGAAAAATAATGTTTAGGTGAAGAGGTGAGATTTCACCTCTTTTTTCACCTGTTTTTTCACCCTCATGAATTTTCATGAATTTTGTGCTGAATTCGACAAAAATGAGTTTTGGTTGAAAAAAGAGGTGGAGCCAAAAGTGGCTCGACCTCAAAACAAGCATTTTGTGAAGAATATAGCAACCGTCGGAAAACAGCGGGTTGCTTTTTATACAAAATTCAACAGGTGAATTTTCATGAAATTCCTTAAGATAGAAAAAATAAAGTTAGTTTTTTTAAAAAAATATTTTTTATTTTGTATGTAAGAACAGATATGTTAAACATTGAGTTTGAAACAGTTAAAAAGATAGACAATGACACCAAAGTGGTTAGAATAGGTGATTTAAACGTAAGATACTCAAAGAAATACAACAAATATTCTTTGTCAGACATTATATCTCCATCTGGAAAGAAAACATGGCATTGGGTTGGAATTGCTTCAACTCAGAAAATTTTGACAAGAAATCCTGAGCTTATGATATCGGTAAGATTCTATGGAACTACAGCATATCTCATTGACAAAAGTCTTATACCGATAGTTTTGTTATGGATTGACCCAGTTGTTGGATATAATTTCATAACATATGGTTCATTCGATACGGAACGTTGCAGTGAGGGCTTACTTTACATCGTTCAGAAACCGAAGGACTTCAATACAAAGAGATATAAGATAGGAAGAACATATAATATAACTCAAAGATATGACAGTACAGTCAATAGAGTTAAGGTTGTGTTTGTTAACGATATGAGAGCTGCTGAAACAGAACTACTTGAAAAGTTTGAGAAGATGTATGGTGCTCCCACGAAAGGTAAAGAAACGTTTGAAGTAGATGAGATAGATAGTGCTATAAAATTATTTGACGAAGTTGCTGAAAAATACATGTAAAGCGTATATTTTTGGTCTTTTGTGAAAGTCAGAAAATAAAGTTAGTGTCATTTTTTTGTATTTTTTTGTATTTGACGAGAATGTTTATGTTAGAATGTTAGATCTAACATGTTTTCTAACACGTTTTCTAACATGGTCTAAAACTCTTGAATTTTCATGAAATTTACACCAAAAATATATTTTAGGTGAAGAGGTGAGATTTCACCTCTTTTTTCACCTCTTTTTTCACCTCATGAATTTTCCCGAAATAAAAAATAAAGTTGGTT